ACAAGACCATTCCTCATATGAAATGTACAGGCTTTCCCCTGTGCCAGAGCCTGTCTTCGCTCGATTGCTTGCAGTCTTTACTGAAGATCCTGAGGCAACTCTGCTGTCATCCTGCCACTCAGATGTGGGTTTGTCCGATTGTCCGAAATCAAATGGCTGGCTGGATTTATGTCTTCAGTGATGCATGTAGACTTTACATTGGACTGTATTTTCCTGATTGTCATCTAATGAGTTTAGGATAAACCCCTGTAAAAAAAGCCTGAGACAATTCCTTCTAGCGGGTCATCAATAACATTTTTATCCCAGTGCTTTTCCTTGTTCTTCATGGTCAGTAGACAAAAACAACTTCCTGCCTTCCTGACCCGGGCAGCTCATTGAGTCACCTGGCAGATGAGAGCTCGTGGCTTTCCCTGGAGCACAGTCTGCACATCAGTGTGATGGAGATGAGAGCAGTACTGGACTTCATCAAGCCTTCTAGCTGCGCAGTCATAACTATCGTAGGCAGGCGATGATGAATACACAGTGATGTATCAACAAACCAAATGGTGAGGGAGAAGAAAAGGCTCCTTCAGTACCAAAGTGGTATGTCTTATGAACCCAGTACACTGAGTACATCTTTTGTGGTGTTCACCTGCTCAAAGTCTTGAGCAAATTAGTGGATTAACCACGGCATTGTCACCTGATGAATGAGGAAATACAGAAACATAGAGCTGTGTGTGCAGCCATCTTCCAGGACTGAAATAATGTTGAGGTCATCCTGTTTCAGATATTGGCAGGGATTGCTAGTGCTTGTGATACAGATCTGGTTTGTCTTCAGGATGCATGGTTCTAACACCTTGTCCAAGAAAGCATCTATATGTGTCCAGGTAACTCTCCTCCTGGCCAAGATGAGACAGGATTTGTCAAAATTGATCCTTGTGGCTGTCACTTACGGTTCCAGGGCCGCCTGTGTTATTCACTAGAGAGTCCTAAAATGCTGTTCTCCATGATTTTTGTTCTGGGCTGTGACTGTACAAAAATCATAGTTCTCTCCACTGTATTATATGTGGTCAAAGCTTGGAACAAAAATGACGGGTCTGAGTTCTTTCCACACAGTGGCTCTTAGGACTAGAACATGCTGTTGAGAAGTTTTCTGGTTTAAAGTGAGAGGGGCTTCACCAGGGGAATGGAGGCGGCTGAGATTTGCCACCTGGGCCATGATGCTTCTTTTGCTTGACATCCTAGGTTGGCTAGTGGGACTCTCCATTTCCAGCTGAGATCCAATAACCCGAACTGTGGCATCCCTGCAGATGGAACGTTCTTCTGGTTTTTGAATAACCTAGCAAGGTTTTTTCCTTCTGCTATGCTTCTCACCATGTGTTAAACTCTTCCCTATGGCTTTTAAATAACTGATGGCTGCTGCTTCTGTGACAAGTGTAGGGCAGAGAGTTGAGGTTATCACCTTCAGAAAGGTGGGAAAGATTCAGTTTGCTGTCAAAGATTCTCCCCCTCCTGCTCTCTGCATAGGCTACACTCCTTAGAGACAGGTTTATCTTTCAGACCCACCTGAAGTTCCTAACTTCATCTTATCCAAAAGATCAGGATACCTCAGCTATCTCCCCAGAAAGTGTCCTGTCAGAGCTGGCCAGTACACTATATGCTGCATGGTAGGTGGGCTTTGTCCTTCTGTATTAGTAGGATATATTGCCAGGCTATTTGGGACGGGTTTCCCAGTTGTTCAAGTGTGAGATATAAGGCAATAATGGTTTTGATGCAGGCTTTTGCCTGCATGGTTTGGCTGTGACTATTGCAAAGGTGTAAAGGGACTGGGGCAGTGACAACCAAGGTTTGAGTTCAAACAGCAGTTGGAGGCTATCTGCAAGGTCTTCTGCTTTCCAGCTTTGCGGAGCTGGTGGCTGGATGCTCGGTTACGCTTCCAGTAAGTGTTACGCTGAGTGCCACGGGCTCAGGGTAGAGCTGCTTTCAGGTCAATGGTTATTTCATTGACAGTTTCAAACTCTTACCCCAAGCATCCTTCTGGAGAGCACTGCCTGGACTGTGCCACAGGGTGCACAGGGGTGTAACCATTCAACCAGAAATAAGGAGCCATCTACCTATAAGTGTTTTCCATATGTATTATTTAATGTATTCTCTATTCTTCCCCAGGGGATTTTTCCTGCACTGATACTCCTCACTCTCCTTTTTAATAGCCTTTATTCCTCCTTTATCTTTTGCCCTTTTTTTTTTTTCTGGAATATAGTAACTCCTTTCATTTACACTCATCTGAAGTTTGTTTTGCTTCCTCCTAATTCTCTTACTGCTCATGCACACATACACTCCCCCCCCCGGGTTTGGCACCTCTGTGTATTACAATCTGTCATTGTTTCTGTTTTCTTTGTATCAAACTTAGATCTTCTCTAAAACATCCAAACACCATGTTTGCAACCTTGTCAGCGAGGTAAATGCGAAATGCATAGTTGCAGTGTGTTAGCAGGCTTCTCATATGGAACCGTTAGGAACACGTGAAGGAAGGAGAAAAGGAAGAGAAAGGGCAGAAGCAGGCAGGTAAAGCTTTTAACTAAGACTCCTACAATAAGCACTTTGAAAAAGAGTAGAAAGATTTTCTTTACAAACTTAGGGTCCAACAGGTTGCAACCTTGGTTATTTACTCCTGGCAAGAAAAAGGACCAGGTATCTAGAAAAGCGATAGATACCATGATAGTGACCATGAAAGGAGATGAAACAATTGGGCCAGGTTGAAAGAAACACTATCTTTGTGAAACAAAAAATAATTAAATTTAGGTAATTTAAAAATAGTCTATAATTTTTGGACCAGCTTTTTTTCCCAAATGCTTCAGTTCCTCAGGTGGATAGAAGTTGCTTCCAGATACTGTTTTAGTAGCTTGTACCTGCCTTCAGGGAGAACAGAGCTGCTGGTCTGAATCTGTAGCAGACACCCACAGCCTGTCATGCTAAGTGACAGAGAGCCAAGACAGACACCTGTGCGTGACAAAAAATTAATTTCAAATACAGGAAACAGATAACTGGAAGCCAAAGCACGGAACTTGGAACTGATCAAAATGTGCATGTCTTAGCTCTCTCCATCTACTGCTACTCACAAAACTGGTTAATCCAGAGTTCTCATCTGCAGACTCAGTTATGAAAATCATAGACCAAGTGTGCTTGCAGTAACTGGGTAGTTCAGCGATAGTCACATGCATTATTAACTAAGATACATTCTATTTGTGGATGCTATTTGTGGATGCTATTTGGGAGACTTGTTCCATTTATACTCCAGAATAATCTATTTTCGCAGAACAAGGAATAATACTCTCTGCATCAGCTTGCTTTTCCACACTTTCACACAAGCAATGCTGTGAGGCCAGGTGTCAGGGAAAGGCAGCTTACAGCAGTGACAGCACCTGCAAGAACATTCCACCTCAGGCAACACTAACCCCTTCATTAAAGCAATGCTGTTCACTCATCAATTCTACTAGCCCAGGCATCATCTACTCCACAGTTTATATTCAACATGGAAATGGCCAGCTGTGTAACTAGCCAGCCTTTCACCTTCAAGTACAGCTTGTGCAATTCCAACATTTATGTTTCCAGTTTTTTACTCTAGAAATTACAGGCATTCTAGAATTTTTATCAAAAATCCACAAGGGCACCTTACTTCTACATATCAAGTAAAAGATGCAGCTAAAATAAAAGCTTATTGACTATTACTTCCTTAGTGGTACCCCTTTTCCTAGGTAGATACATAACAGACTTTTTTTTTATATGTAGTCTAACTGAACACTTGAAACAGGCACAACTCACTTTCCCTCCTTTGCCTAACCAGAGCACTTATACTTCAGTGGGTTCACAGCCATGCAGCATCTAAAATTTAAAAACTCTGTATTGAGCATGTTCTGACCTCACTGGTAATTCATAGCTCAAGTTGCCTGTAATGGTATAGTTGGAAGCATAGTTATTTTAGTAACTCAGAAGTAGTCCATGCTAGAATACTTTTTCAAGTAAAATAAACAGCAATGACTCCACTATCAAATGAAGACATACTTCAAAGTTAAGGGTAATATAAATGAATTATCAAAGTAGTTAAGACTATATAGTAGTTTATCTGTAAGACAACTGGCTGCAGTACCCTCAAGCTGAAACCACTTGGTTTTGCTATTGTAGAATTGTCAATAATCATTCCACCTACATAAAACTGTTAGAAAACTTTCAAGAGGCTGTCAGTACCAAACCACCATTAAGAGTGTGCTGATTAGCACATCACCTTAAAGGACATGTACTTGTAATGTGTTCAGTGTACTGAAAACAACAGGAAAAAGTTCATTAATATATTTATTTCATGATTTCAGTTTTAGTTCAATTGAACATCAGAGCAGACAACTTTTTGCTTTGTGAAGATACAGGGAATTTTTTGAAATGCTGTATTTCCATATTCTACAAAGTATGTTTGAAAAATCAGATTACGGTTTCAACCGTATGATTGTATAATTTGTCATTAACAAGGCTGCAGTTAGGAACTCAGCCTGGTGCTTTAGTATAGCTTATGTTTTCAGACATACTTTTCACTTAATAGCATATATTAAAAAAATACAGCTTTAGAAGAAAACATGATTTTAATTCATGTTATAAGTGTCATCACACTGTTGGGTAGCTAGAGACATCACTTAATACAACAGGTATTTCTGAAGATCTCATGCTATTAAGAGTTCACAATATTAGATTTTAAACTCACTATAGACCACCTGTCTCCAGACAAAATATATTACATAAAATTTGAAGTATAATATATACACATATTCCAATACAAATGTTGGAGGAATTTTCATACAAAATGTAACTGTAATGTAGTGGACAATTTTTAAATTAATGCATCCTCATCTCAACCAGATATGTTACTCAAATTGTACTGTTTCCCTAGGAAATATTTTGTTGTCCAATACATCACAATAGCATATTTTTTAAAAAAGTTGATTGAGAACAATTGAACTACATTATGTTAAGTTTTAGACATATTTCTTGATTTCATCATAAAGTACTAATACAAAAGCTCCGCCCATGCCTCTCAACACATTCGACCAGGCACCTTTGAAGAACGCTTTGGATCCTTCATCTTTAGCTATCTTCTTCCAGCAATCAATTGTGCCCTTGTACATAATATCAGCTGTGGAAACAGACAGAAAGGTCAGAAGGGTTGAAGTTATACAGCAATCAACTTTTATATATTTAAAACAAGGAATAAGCAAACTATAGCCAAGAATTGAAAATTAAGTAATCAATTAATGAAAAGTAATTTTAATTCTCCACATGGAAATCAAAACAAATCAACTCTCAGCCTCTTAAGTGAACATGACAAACAACCAGCAATGTGTTCCCATAGCTTTTTTTTTTTATGGAGTCTAGTAAGGTCATTAGTTTTTTAGAAGACAAAAAAATACCCAGCATCTCCCACCATATCTCAATGAAGAGATACTTTCTGCTGCCAGAACACCATAGGAGCACTTATTCTTACCTCCCTTTCGGCCAGACTGCATCATCATCCTACGTCGCACAGTATCAAAAGGGTAAGAAACCAGCCCTGCTACTGCAGTGACAGTCTGGGCAATCATCCAGCTCACTACGATATGCACATTCTTTGGATCAGGCAACATACCTGCCATCAAGAACAAACGAGGAGAGTCAGTATGGAGGCAAAGGGTTGTGGGAAAGGTGGCAGTGGAAGGAACAATCGCCCACTCAATCAACCCAATTCCATCACACCTGCAACTGCTCCCTTCATCAGTATTTTACTATTAACAGGTACTATGAGTAAGAGAAGTTTATAGGGCTGTTGGGTTTTGGGATCTAAGCCCTCTTCATGCTCCCTGACCAAAAGGTCTCTCCTGCAGACCCCTCTCATGCTTGTGTCATGAGCTGCAATGAGGAACAAGCTACCACACAAGCCCATCTCTGCAAGCCTTAAGACAGAGAAAGAAACTGGAAAGTGTCTGAAAACACACTGCAAACCCAAGGCTTCTGCTCAGAGCAGCAAGTTGAGAGAGCAGGAATGCATTTCAGAAGCCCCTGCACATGTGCTAGCACTACCACCCTGAAGGGGTGCTGAGCCAAGCCCTGCTTGTCCTTGTACTGCCACGTGCCCTAGAGTGCCTTTACTGAATGGATCTTCCCTTGCAGTCACTTCTCCACACAGTTCTTACCCTTGGCCGTGTCATAAACCCCAAAATAGGCTGCTCTGTAGATGATGATGCCCTGGACAGACACACTGAATCCTTGGTACAGGCCCCTCAAGCCATCAGACTTGAAGATCTTCATGATGCAGTCGCCCAGCCCAGTGAACTCCCTCTCGCTGGCTCCTTTGCCCACATCAGCCGCCAGCCGGGTCCTGGCGAAATCCAGCGGGTAGACGAAGCAGAGGGAGGTGGCTCCCGCCGCACCCCCGGACGCCAGGTTCCCTGCGAAGTAGCGCCAGAACTGCTTGCGCCTGTCCACTCCCCCCAGGAAGATCTGCTTGTACTTGTCCTTGAAGGCAAAGTTGAGGGCCTGGGTGGGGAAGTACCGGATGACGTTGGCCAGGTTGCCTCTCCAGAAGGAGATGATGCCTTGCTCCTTGGGGATGCGGACTATGCAATCGATGATACCCTTGTACTGCTTCTCTGCCGTGATCTGTTTGCTGGCATGCTGGACCTGTACGGAAGAGAAGGAGGAGGGGTGGGAGGGTAGAGAGAGGGGCACTGCAGGGTTGACCCCGCACGGCGGCCCGCTGAAGGGCAGGGACGGGGCCTGCCCCGCC